CCCCCCCCCCCCCCCCCCCCCCCCCCAAATCTGTTCCAGACATATTGTGGGATATATTAGAGCAGCTCCATCAGTGTCAGAGGACCAGAGAGCAGTGATGCGGCGGCTCACGCAAATTCAGTCTTATGCCAAGATTATGATCTAACATCAATACGAGGCCACAAACCAAGGAGATCTGCATGGATTATCCACTCACTGCTGGATCTGTCTGGACAGCAAGCTGAAAAGGAAGTCACTGACCCCACCTGCAACACCAGCTTACTCACTCCTGCAGACCTCCTTGGCTCTTCATCATCTCTCTCTCTGAGCTCTGTGTTTTTGTACTGATGAGAAAGAGATGAAAGTAGAAAGTGATGGCTTTAAAAGATAGAGGGCGATGTCTTTTTACATCAGGTTTTCTCAGTTTTGTCTATTAAGCAAGCAAATGATCAATTCTGTGTGTTTAGCGCGAGAACAAAAGGCTGTGCAAATGAGTGACTGTACAGAAGCTGCTCTGCTAGTAGCCCAGGGCATCGTTTCCGTTCTAATCATTTTGCCGTTTTTTCCACGTGGCCTTGGATAGGTGATATTAAAGGATTAGGCCCGTGTCCTGCCCGATGAGGCTTTAATTAACAAGCTTAAAGTAAACGCTCAGCTCCGTCTAATTGGATCAGAGGGAGGGATGTGTTATCAGCTATCTGGCTTCTTCACACACCAGATCTGATTCTGCCTCCAGGTAGAACCTTTCACCGGCCGCGGAGGAGTCTGGAGGTTTTAGCAATGGTGCTTTTCAAGACATTGCTTCTGGCACCTCAGCTGCATGGCCTAAATTCTTGGATAAAACTTTTATACAAAGGCTGTGTTTTAATGGCAAGGAGACTTTTGATTCTCCTCAGTAAATACCTTAAACGGGAATACACCTGCTACTTGAACAGATCTGGAGTGGTCTCTAGTAAAAAAGAGAAAGCCTTGTGAGTCGTTTTCTGTGGAAAAAAGCTCGAGCACTCCTGTTTCGGGGGTAGAAGTTAGTTGGAGGAATGTTCGGGATGAAAACAACCGGATTTGGAGTCTTGATAATTAATATTCATAATATGCAAACATCTCGCTTCTGATTGGCTAACAGCAACATGACTCTTCTGCTGCCTCCATTCGCCCTTATTTTGGGCCAAAAATGGAACTTGCAGCAAAAATGGCCAGTTTTTCTGTTGATGGCTAATCAGGAAATACGGGTAGAAGACTATTTTCATGTTATGGATGTATGTGAAAGTCAGAGTGACCAATCGTACTTTAAAAAAATTGCTATGAGTTTCTCCGTGAACCTCACCCTTAAGAAATACAGCACCTGGCATGCATGCTTTGATGAAAATAATACACACAACACACAGATTTAAACTAATCCATAAAGGATGTGAAGCACGAGCAGCTCAAGGTTTCCTAATATAAATATTCAAAGAGCAGCTGAGATGAGAATCAGCTCCTCTAAAATCGAGACCATGGAAAGAGTGGAATGCCTTCTCCGGCTCAGGGATGAGGTCCTGCCCCAAATGAGGAGTTTAACCTCGTCGTCGTCGTCGTCGTCTTCCTCCGCTTATCCGGGTCCGGGTCGCGGGGGCAGCATCCCAACTAGGGAGCTCCAGGCCGTCCTCTCCCCGCCTTGTCCACCAGCTCCTCCGGCAGGACCCCAAGGCGTTCCCGGACCAGATTGGAGATGTAACCTCTCCAACGTGTCCTGGGTCGACCCGGGGGCCTCCCTTGCCGGCAGGACATGCCCGAAACACCTCCCCAGGGAGGCGTCCAGGAGGCATCCTGACCAGATGCCCAAACCACCTCAACTGGCAACTCGAAGGATCTTTCATGGCGGTTAAAACGAAGAGTCGGAGTACCCGGCCCGGAGGGTTACCGGGGTCCCACCCTGGAGCCCAGGCCTGGGGTTGAGGCCCGTGAGCGAGCGCCTGGTGGCCGGGCTTTCGCCCATGGGGCCCGGCCGGGCCCAGCCCGAAACCGGATACATGGGCTCGTCCAACTGTGGACCCACCACCCGCAGGAGGAACATGAAGGGTCCGGTGCAATGCGAATCGGGTGGCAGACCAAGGCGGGAGCCTTGGCGGTCCAATCCCCGGACAAGAAAACTAGTTTTTTGGGGAGTTTAACTCGTTCACTGCAATTGATGACTAAAGTCGCCATTTGCATTTTTTTACTGTGTGGGGCGTCGGACGAGCCCCCGCACCGTGAGAACAAACATCTCAGCTCTAAAGCCGATCTTCATCCGCGTACGTCACACGTCATGTGATCAGGAGGCAGAACATCCATGTGTTAGGAGATCGTTTTGGGCCGTTGCTGTAAAAAAAAGTGAGGCGCGAACCGGAAAAGCTTCTGCCGATCACAATTCAAGAACGGATTATGAAAGAACGGATAACGCTCAAAACGCGCGGATTCTTCCTGATGTAAGAGGTGAGTCTCCGTTTTGTTTTGGTTGTTTTGGCGTCGACATCATCCAGCGCGCAACGTTCTGCGACTCTTAAAAAACAGTAAAAATGGTGAGAAACGCTGGCAGCGACGGGCTTTAGCGATCAGGGAAACAGCTGGCAGCGAATGAGTTGAGGATCTCAGGTTCTTGTTACTGAGTGAGGAAAAACCGAGCGTAAGATCAACAAGCTGATTGGAGCTGCATCTGCATTGATGCGGGTGTTGTGCGGGTGTTGTCGTGGTACGAGAGAGCTGAGCCAGAAGGCAACGCTATCGATTTACCGGTCAGTCTACGTTCCTACCCCCTATGGTCACGAGCTTTGGGTAACTAATGCAGATGTTAAACAGGATCATACGTTTAATTGGAAATTAAAAATCAAGTTTAGTTCTTTGTGGTTTGAGTCTTTAGGTAATGTGAACCAACCATCCATCCAGCTTGTCCACGTAGGGTCGGCCGCACGCGGGGGGGGGGGGTGGGGGGGGGGGGGGGGGGTGGGGGGGGGGGGGCTATCTCCAGCGGTCAATGGGCAATCAAGCGGGGTACACCCTGGACAGAGAGCCGGTCTATTGCAGAGCACAGCACAACTAATACTGTTTTAATTAGACAAATAACACAAACTACCTACAACACACTCAAGACAGAAATGAGCCCGATCTCATGACTAACACAAGATCAGAACGTTTTTACCATAATCAGTCACGTCCAAAGTGAGGCCCAGGGCCATTTGTGGCCCTCAGAGTGATTTCTCATGGCTTAATTTCTACAACGAGGGCTGCATGGTGGCACTGTTGCCTCGCAGCACGAAGGTTGCGGGTTCGAAACTCGGCTGCGGCCTTTCTGCGTGGAGTTGCGTGTTCTCCCCATGCATGGGTGGGTTTCCTCCGGGTACTCCGGTTTCCCCCACAGATCACAACATGCCCTACAGGTTATAAAGTGTAAGTCGCTTTGGATAAAAGCATCTGCTAAATAAATAAACATAAACTTGGTCTCTCCAGCAGTCTGTTAATTTAGGAATGACACTTTTTAATGCTTTTCTGTTCAGATTTGACTATTTTGTCATGTTCTGGGGGTGGAGATGGTGGACCAAGTGTGGTGGAGGGTTCCAGAGGCAGATGAGCAGGCACGGATAAAGTAAAAGTAGTTTAATCGTAGAACGGGAGTGACAGGACAAACAAACATGCACAAAACGACAAACAATGATCCGACCAAGGACAGGTGCAGACAGGTGGTATAAATACACAAGGCTAATTGAGAAAACATGGGCAGGTTAACGAGGGACAGGTGAGAACAATACGGACTAATCAGGGCAGGAGAGAGACAGTCAGGAGGGCAGGGGCAGATTGTGACATAATTAGGCAAAATTCAAGCAGTGCAATAAAAAGATTAATAGATTAAATTAAGATGAAATATTGTTATGAAGACTTGCTGGGTTAGGGTAAAACGTGATTACCGATAAAGGAACAGGTGAATAGAGTCAACCGAGGGAAAAGCTGAACTAGTTTAAACAAAGAAACAAATCACAGCCATGAGTCCTCGAGTAAGTTTATGCCCCGATGATGTCATTGGCTCTTTATATTATTATTCATTTCAACTTTACTATCGGACTCAAGGCCCACATTAAAAAAGAGACATAAAACGATACAAAAGATTATAAAAGGCATGCAAACCAGTGTCTCCACGTGTATGACTGGTAACGCACCGCACTAAACTGGGGATCAACCAGCATCCGCACAAGTCTGTTCTTACAGACTTATTATTATTATTATTATTGTTATTATTATTAACTTGTTATGCATTGCTTTCTCTTCTGATAAAGTTTATAAATAGAAATTAAATGAACAAAACTCAGACTTGTAGATTTTCTGAGGAAAATTAATCATTTTTGATCATTTTAATAATAATAACATTGATTTCATTTGGGACATTTTAATATGGTAGACACCGGTACCTCCACAAACAGCCTGACCATAAACAAAAACAACTTCACTCCTTCTGTTCTGTTGGACAGAACCACCTCCTCACCCAGCTCCAGGATCCGCACCTTTTAGTGCTGGTGCTCACCTGAGCCGACACGATTACCTCACTACTAACGCACGCACCTGCTGATGTTTAACACAACCATGTTAGTTCACTAATGGCTTTTAAATCATTTAAATAATAAATAGCATTGGTGGTGTGAATCTGTGCTGTTTATTCTCTGTGGGACAGCTCTCCTGTGGGATCTGCTCTGCAGACAGGACACTGCTCCTGCAGGTCCATCCACGATGTCTGCTGAACGGAACCAGCTGGACAGTCAGGAATGATGCAACCTGAGATCTGCTGTATGTCTCTCTGCAGAAGGAAACATCTGCTGAGCGCACATCTAGCCTCTATGCCTTTTCAACATTTGGCTCCGAACTTAGAGAGACGGCAAGGTGACTTGTTTCAGTTTTAGACACGTGTGATTTACTAAAAGAGGAATCGTGAACCAGATAATCTGGATTTTAGACACGTGTGATTTACTAAAAGAGGAATCGTGAACCAGATCATCTGGAAGGAGCTCGTTGGGTCTTACCTGAATGGTTTGAACGTTACTAGACATCTTCTGACCATTATTTTACCGTCGGTGCTGCCAGTAATCATTTTCCAAAACGAGTCTCCGCTGACATCGCTGTTAACCCCCGAGCTGGAAGTGGAGAGAAGCGGACATCCTAAAGCGCGTAACATCCAGCAGCAGTCGGTGCGCTCACCCAGAAACCCCCCACCGCAGCCCGCTCCTCTGAAATCAGACAAACTTTCATTCAGCAAGTGTCTTTGTCTATGAGGGAACCTGCCTTTATCGTGCCGTCAGCAGGCGGAGGAAGCGGCTGCGGGGTCCGGTGGAGCGGGGCCGGGATAAAAACGGCGCCGGGATCAGGAGGAAAGATGTGGGCCGAGTCTGTTTCCTCCGCTGGGTCTGGAGAAGAGAAGCGGCTCCGCGCCCGGCTCAACTTCAACCTGGGCGAGTGTGGCCAGCCTGCCGGTGGGGTGACGGATTTTTGATTGGTGACGGTCCGTGCTTCCGGTTGAGATTTTCAAAACAATGTACCAGAATGTCAATACTGCCTAGTGTGGTTATAACTAAGCATTATAATTATTTTTGCAAATTCCCCCCCACACACACACACACACACACACACACACACACACACACACACACAAATAATAATAATACCAAAATACTTTCCGCATTTTAGATTTCTTCTTTAAGTTTTGTCTGCTTGTTAAACCTATAAAAATAATTGCCTTTATTTCTGCATTTTTAAAAATGACACGTTTCTTATTTTGGAAGTGTATCCCTCCATTTCCTGTTTTATTGTATCTCCCACTGGCTTGATGGTTGTTTGGTGTGATTCTGATGCACAGCTCTCTTGGTGGTAGAGACCCTCCGCAGACGCGTTAAATGATAAATGACCCGCACTTGTATGGCGCCTCTCAGAGTAAGGACTCCAAAGCGCTTTACACTACAGTGTATCGTTCATCCATTCACACACACATTCATACACTGGTGGGGATGAGCTACGATGTAGCCACAGCTGCCCTGGGGCGCACTGACAGAGGCGTTCCCCTGCATGGCGGCATCAGAGGCTCGACAGCCGCTGCTGATAAACAAAAACACAAAAAGTCACTTACATTTGTTCCTGTATGATGTACAACACAGTTATTAAATTATTTTTATTATATTTGAGTTAATCAGAATAAAATTAATGTAAAGAATTTTGCCACATTTTGATGCCAAAGAATGTTTAGTCTTAATTTATGTGTTATGTGTAAATAAGGTATTTAACAGCCAAATGTTGTTTAAACTGTATTTATGACTAGATATAAAGCTAAATACGAGCCTTTATGTTATTTAGCCAAATCTTCGACTCCCACGATTTTCAGCAGCCAAGAAAGCAGGAATAAAAGAAGTATTTCAGCACCATGGACAGCGAGCGGTTTAGGACACAACAGCGGCACTCGGCGGCAGGAAGTAGTACTGCAGCAGGAGAGAAAAAAAGAGAAAACGGTCTTGTATGTATGGCTTCTCAAGAAAAAATCACGAGGCGCTTCACAAAAACAAAATACTTTAAATAAATAAATAAAAAAACATAAAAACACCCCAGCAACAACAAAGGTAGACTAGATAAATGAATGGATGATCTTGAAAAATGCAAATAAGAGTAAAAAACGATTAAAAATGTCATAAAAACTGCAAGAAAACTGACATTTTATCATATTTGTACATAAAACCTTTAGATGACTTACCCCTTTTTCGTCATCCTATATATGAAACGTATTATTACAAATAAGCATCAGGCAAAATGCTATATAAAAATGTTATTCCATCTAATGGGGTGATAACTGTTGTTTTTTTTTACCACACATTATAAACGGTTAGTTGTGCGTTAATAAAATATAATAAAAAATCACAGCATAAAATATAATTGGCACTAACTTATTTGGAAGAGTCCTGGCTGTACCTCTCAGCTGCCCCGTTTACTGTATTTGTGTAAATGAGCTGAAGTCAGTTTTAGTCACAGCTCAGGTTATTTAGCCTTGGTGGTCAGCAAAAGCACTGGAGCAACAAGACAGTCAGACAGGAGGAAATCTGCAGGCGACGAGGCTGAAGATGACAGAGAAATCTCAAACTCCTTTCATGCATCACTTGCTGTTGGACATGTGGACGTGACTGACAGCTCACCGCTCGTGCAGGCTGTCCCTCTCTGTGGGTTCTGAGAACACAGCTGCTCTATCTGCATGAGGCCACTGAGCAAACCGTGTGTGTGTGTGTGTGTGTGTGTGTGTGTGTGTGTGTGTGTGTGTGTGTGTGTCAGAAGTGAAGATGCTCAAATGCTGAAGGTTTCAACTCTAATCAGGTCTTAAGGTTTAACTTATATAGATCCGTTACATAAATGTGTGAGGGGAGGGGGGTGGGAGGGATGAAAGAAAAAAAATAACCTAGTATTTATTCGTATGTGTATATATGTATGTATGTATATAGATCTACAACTTAATGCTTCTTTCTGTGTAAATTGTTTTCTTTTTCTATTTTTTTCTCAAATTCATGGGTTGAGATTTTGTCGGCCAACAGGTTCAGGAACTATACTGTCCAATTTCTTTAAGAATCATATGATTATTTCATTTGTATTAATGCTATTTTAGTTAAAAGGGGCAGACAACATAAGTTTTTCTTCTTTCTGTCCCCTTTTTCGTTTTGGTTTGCAGCAATTTAGTTCTGACTGTATTTTTATTTTAATGTCAATAAATGAAAATAAAAGATAAAAAAAGTCTGAAAAAAACACTTAAAAAATCAAAAATCATTCACAAAGTGCTTTCCTGCATTTTTCCCTGAAAGAACGAAACAAGGGTACAATTTGTAGGAAGTGAGAAACATCAGAGGCTCGTCTCGGCGCTAATGTGCAGGTTTTAGTGGTTCAGTTCCCAGCTGGGAGAGTTCTCTCAGCAGCACCTGCCACCATAGCTAATGAGCTGCCTGTGTTCAAACAGAATAGGACCTGAGGCTGAGACGAGCAGCATCCTCTACGGAGCCACACACACAAAGAGTGTGTGTGTTGGTTTGTAATCACACTTATTGTGCCAAATATTTTCTTGTGTCGGTTGTTTTATGTTCTCATTTTCCAAAGTCTCCCACAAAAGGAGCCGAGGAGATCATCCACAAGCCGCGATGTCATCGAGACGATCCCAATCCTTGGAATACAAACACAACACAGACTTTATCCCGTCATCAGCTGTTTTTGCTTTGCTTTAGTGTCATGATCTGAGGTAGGTGCTTAACCCAAGACGTGCAGAATCAGATGCCGGAGACAAGTTGAATAGTAAAAAGGTAAAATGATATTTATTAAACGGGAAGAACTAAGGGCGCACTGAAGTCCAGCGGGTTGCAGAATCCGGAACCGGCGTCTACAGGAAAACAAAGGTGAGTCTGGTGTTTGTAGTTCCGGGAGTTTTGATTTGTAGTCTGACTTACTGTGCGGAAGTGAAGTTGTTGTTAGGAGGGGGAGTGAGCCGGGGTGATATCCAAGATGAGGAAGCGGTCCAAGATGAAGGCGAGTAGGAGAATGAGCGGGGATATTGATCCGGAGAGGGAACGTGAGCGAGGTGGAGAGCGGGTCGGCAGGCGGAGGAGATACAGGAACGAACCAGAGATTTCCTTCCAGGGGCAGAGCGAGTAATCCAGGAATCCAGGAACCTGAGGTAGGTATCAAACATCTATGAGCGAATATTCCCAAAATTCAAAGTACAAATATCAAAGAGCAAACAGAGCAAAAAGCACGGAGGCAAGCGACTACCAGTAAACGGCAATCATCCGGCGTCGTAATCTGGTCTTCCTCCTCTTTATAAGGCGGCCCGCTGATGAGAAACAGCTGTCCTGAACGTCTTCTCATTTCACCTGAGATACGCTGGCTGTCAAAAGAGTTTGCTTAACAAAAATTACTGTTTAAAGACAAAATTTTTCATGCGTGCATGTGTGTGTGTGTGTGTGTGTGTGTGTGTGTGTGTGTGTGTGTGTGTGTGTGTGTGTGTGTGTGCGTGCGTGTGTGCCCTTGTTTTACTGGTATCAGCTCAGATGGAACCGTCTCCAACCAACCAATCGGAGGAGAAAGCCCAGACATTCTTCTCATTAGTGACACTCTCCAGCACCTCCTGGGGATCCTAGAAAGGAAACATAGTTCTCTGTTCTATTTCTTGGTTACTCCTAAGGACACCTCCCAGGACATGCACCCAAAACAATCTCAAGAGGGAGCAGCCAAGAGCTACAAACCTTCTCCTTCACCTTCCTAGTGGTAGAGTGTCCACGCTGGGATTGGGTTATCGGGGTTCAAATCCCAGTCAGGTCTTACTAAAGACTTTAAAAACAGGACCCAATGCCTCCCTGCTTGACACTCAGGTTTAAGGGGTTGGATTGGGGGCTTAAACCACCGAACCGTTCCCGAGGCTGAACCCAGACGCCTCTCAGAGGAAGCTGATTTTAGGATCTTCCTCTTTAGAACATGACCTACATCTACAGACCACAGCCAAAAACTGAAAACGTAGATGGATCTGCTCCTTATTTGTGCAGTGTTATTCTGCTTAGGATCATAAATAGGAAATGTTCAACATGTTGGATTATCTTGGTCCAATATCAGAGAATGTGTGGTGTGCCTTGAGGACAAAAGAGCGTGCATCCTATTAAATGTGGCCAATCAAAAACGAGGTGACAGAGTATGCTACACATACTCCTCCATCATGTTTGCTTCCTGACCTGGGACTGTGGCCATGGACCACACAACGTGGCACCAAAACTGGTGCGTCTATGACTTCTTTATCACCGTGTGTGGCGTCACTCAAAAATCTTCAGACAATTTTAAAATCTTGCTGTGCGAACCAGTTCTTACATTCATCCCACATGACTCTGTACAGATGCATGCTTGACTCTGTGTGTCAAACCACACAAGAACAAGAAGTCGATCTAAAACAGAATGAAAATGCAAATTAGTCTCCCACTCTAGCGACCTGCGCTGCCAGTCAGCATCACGATTCTCCATTAAGCTTCCGACAAAACAGCCTCCAATCAGCCCAGATGTGCGTGCTACAAATCACTCCACCCAGCCGTTTCCATCACTCATTACAAATAAATCAATTCTCCTCATTGTTATGTTCTCTGCTCATGTCCATTCTACCTTCTTCCATCGATTCCTGTCATCTGCCCATTTGTCAAGGCTGTTTTCCCCCCTTTATCCCTCTTTTAAGCAACAAAGAGACATTTTTAATAGCAGTCTATAACTTTTCCCTGGTCCCAACCCACCACCCCACCAGTGTTGGGCAAGTTACTTCAAAACGGTAATGCATTATTTATTACTTGTTACCCTCATTTTAAAGTAATTCGTTACATTACAATATTACTGGTTTTAAAATGTAAGGCATTACACTACTTTTGCATTACTTTTGCATTACTTTTGCATTACTTTTGCATTACTTTCACCAAAACAACTTCAGCATGAATCTGGTCATGTGACG